GGGAGCACGGGGTTCCAAAGGCAAAGGATACTGAAAGGAGGCAGGTGGGAAGCAGTTTCAGTGACCCAGGCCAAGGATGGTGGCAATGGGATTTGGGGTAGGGAAGAGAGGCTGAGGCAGAGCGCTTCATCTCATGATTTTGGAGGATGGTTCATAGAAGTTGGTAATTGGCTAGAAGAAAGGGAGGGGAAAGGAGAATGCTGCTTTACTTTGGCTCTCCAAGAAAGAGGCCACCAGGCAAGAATTTGAGTCCCAGTGGTTCATTTGACAAGAATGGGAAATTCTGAAATACTGGTAGGAACCTGAGAATGTGGCATCAGAAACAAAGACAGCAAACAGAGTGTGTCATCAAGCTCTCTAGACTGAGAATGTCTACAATATATCCCATGAAGAAATCCTGGAAATGGTAGAAAACAAATGCCTGAGAGCCGTCTCAGCATGGGACTGAGAAACTGGGAAGATCACATATTGTCATGAGTCACTCACTGATGAGCTTAACGTCCCAGCATTCCCAGCCTGCCTTCTTGCTTCCTAAAAAGCCCTCAGGCAAAACTAATGCATTAGATAGATAGATGATAGACACTTAGATACATAGATGATAGATAGATAGATTGTAAACAGATAATAGAAGACAGATTCCTGATAATTCATAGACAATAGACGATAGACAAAAGATAGGTTAAGATAGACAATAGATCGATAATTAATAGTTGATAATTAATAGAATTGGATGTGTCCAAGTTTGGGTTGTAGTGAGACAGTAAAAGAAAATATGTTAGCCAGCTTTCCCTTATGATAACAAAACATCTCAAATAATTAACTCATTAAAGAGAAAACATGGGACATAACTCAGTTCTTAGAGTGCTTGCCTAGCAAGCGTGAAGCTCTGTGCTCAATCCCCAGCACTGCATGATCTTGCCCTAATGGGGCATGTCTGTAATTCCTGCACTTGGAAGATAAAACGAGAAGGAACAAAAGTTCAAGGTCATCTTCAGGCTATGTGGCAAATTCAAGACCTGTTTTAGCTTCACAAGACTCTGTCATAGTGAGGGCAGTCTGAGAAAGAGACAGGGAGGGAGAGGGAGAAATATTTCGTCTCTTAGTTTTAGAATTTGGTTCCTTATCAGTTCATTGGTTTGGGCCCATGGCAAAGCAGAAAATGGTAGTAGGATCAAGTGACTGCACAAATTCACTGATATCATTAGTCAGAAAGCAAATATGGTAAGGAGCAGAGACAGGACAGGGTCCCTAGTGGCCTTCCACTAGTCCCTACCCCTTAAAGCTACCACACCTCTCTGTTGAAACATTACCGAAAGTCCACTCTAGCACAGGTAACGACTCACAAAGACTGGAACCCTGGAACTTCCTGCATGACTTCAAGGCAGTTCAACAGACTGAAGAGTCTCTTCCAGGCAGCCTGGGGGGCTGGTCTGAGTCTCTGCAGAGTCCTTAGTTCTGACACAACCGTAGGAAGGGCAGAACTTGTGCATCTGGTCAGTTTCAGGGGCTTCCTAAAACATATGAGTTGTTTACTCCCTGTGTCCTCATGACTCTTCCTTTAGAATTTCCTGAGTGTTAGGGAGCTTCTCTCCAAGATGGAGCATTTCAAGTCAGAGGAAACTGCTACCCAGCAGCAACCATCTCTAGCCCTGCATGGTTGGAAACAGGATCTAATCGTGGTTAGGTCATTTAAGTAGATTCTAACCCAATATAACTGGTGCTTTCATAAAAAGAAGAGACCAGTAAAACACAAGAACCTGTCTACCAATTAAGGTAGAGATTAGAGTGGGCCTCTACCAGTGGAACTCGGCTCACTAGCAATGCCAGGTTGGAGAAAAGCATACAAGGCACCTTAACCCATGACATCTTCATTTTAGACGTCTAACACCTAGAATTGCAAAAGAACGGAAGTCATAAAATTAACTTGGCCTGTGTCATAAGTGCATGGCTCAATATCATGGGTTAGAAACAGGATACTGCAGTCAACTCTGGGATAATGTTTGATTGTTTTTTATTGTTTGTTTTTTGAGACAGGGTTTCATAGTAGCTCTGGTTGGCCTGGAACTCATTCTCTATGTAGACCAGGATGGCCTTGAACTCACAAAGATCCACCCATCTCTGCCTCCCTAGTGCTAGGATTAAAGGTGTGAGCCACTACTGCCCAGCCAATGTTTGATTTCTAAGGGGACATTCTTATTCTTACTATGAGTTTCTTTTTAACTCTCATTCAGCAGGAAGAGAACAAAAATTTCGTTCCTAAAATTCGATAGTATGAGCCCAATGAGATGATTCAGTGGGCTAAGGTACCTGCCCCCAAGCCTGATGACCTAAACTGATCCCGGGGACCCACAATGTAGAAGGAGAGAATTAACTGCCGTGGTTTTCCTCTCACTTCCATGTACATATGCCATGGAAGGTGAGTGCCCATACACACAAAATAGCTCAGTCATTACACTGGGTTATCTGGTGTTTACTGTGTTTCACTTTCACATAGAAGTCACTTTGTCTAGTGTTGGGTCATACCCACTCAGTATACCACAGTGGTATTGACATATTTATGATTTAATGTTCCCACCTCCACAGTGTTTTTGTGTGCTAATAAATAAGGTAGATATGCATGAGCCCTTCCATACACAACAAATAGAAAATGATGCATTGTTGGCACTTGAACCAATATTGACAACAATATCTCAGCCAATCACCTAATTAGTCATATTCTACTGTTCTGGGAGATGCTTGATGTCAGGGTACTTTCCTTAGCCAATGGCTTGATGGATTGAGAGATTTTACTGCCTTCAGATTTTGTTTTTTCGGTTTTTTTTTTTTTAATCACAAATCACAAATCACTTAAGACTTAAATTAACCAACAGTTTTGGGAAGTCAAGGGGCAAGCACAACTGCCCTCAAGAGCTGGGAAAGTCAAGAATAATGCAGTTGGATGGATTGTATTCTCAGACATCTTTGTTTCCAAGTTAATCATGTAGCTTTGCTTCCACCAAGGAATGTACTGGCTTCCACTTTTCTCAAAACTCAAAGCCCTCTTGTGTTGATCTTTTCTCATTTTTGCAGGATGTGGCTATACAATATGTCTCCAGTTTTGTTCTGTTTTTTTTTTTTTTTTCTGAAAAGACAACAGGGTAAGCACCTCACTAACAAGCACTCAGTAGCGGGGGAAGGGGTCCTAATTCCGTTTCAGGATGGCAGACTGCCTTGATGCAGCTGATCCAGTCCAACCGGGAACGTGGGCTCAAAGTTATTAATCATTCCATTTTGCAAAAGGGATTTCTTATGCAAAATTCCCAGATCTTTAAATGTTGCAAACCATCCAGACAGAGTGACTCATGCTTGTAATCCCAGCACTGAGAAAGCTGAGGCAGTAGGATTGCTTCAAATTGGAGACCAGCCTTGGCTACACAGCAATATGCTGTCTCAATAATTATAATAAGTAATAATAAATGAACATGTTTTTATTTATTTTTCTTCTTTTATTTTTTTTTTTAATTAGGACAGGTTCTCACTAAGTAGCCAAGGTTGGCCTGAACTCAATGAGCCTTCTGCATTCTCTTCTCAAGTGGATTATAGATATGTAACACCACAATCAGATTCTTATGTAAATATGCATTGATGGCCAGATAGTGATTCCAAAGAAAACATATCTATGAGCAAATGAGCCTATGAGCAGATGGTCTGCTATTTTATAGCCTTTGCCTAAACACTGCTTTTAAAAACTATAACAAATACACATAAAATATAAAAATTTTATTTTCAGGTCAGTGACGTAGTTCTGCAGGTAAAGGTGGATGCTGAAAAGCCTGGTAACCTTGCATTCTATCCCTGGGACTCAAGTAAAGATGCAAGCACTGAACCAACTCCACAAAGTTCAACTCACAACATTGTTGTTTGGGTTTCATAGGTGAACACACACACACACACACACACACACACACACACACACACACAAATGGTAATAATGATGGTGATGGTGATGGTGGTGGTGATGATGTTGATAGTAACTGACTAAAATTAAGTTAAAATACTATTAGTTTACCACTTGCTGTGGTCTTTGTGGGGGTGGCCCATCAAAATTCTTACGTTGAAGCCTAATCATTGATGAGCTGGTTAACCACTGGAGGCCATGAAATCAGGAAAGTGAGATACCAGTCCACTCTTTTTTTTTTTTTATTTGATCAAAATGTTTTTCATGTTACATTTTGATTATGTTTTCTTCATCCCCCATTCCTCTTAGATCCTTCCCACCTCTTGACCTACAACTTTAGGTTCTTTTTCTCTCTCAATAATAACAAGAAGAGGAAGATGAGGGAAAGAAACAATAAGAAAATAAAAAACAAACAAACAAATCCACAACACACAAAGGAAATCCAAAACAAACAAGCAAAACACCAATAAGGGAAAAAAAAGCCAAATTCAAGGCAAAATGAAACAAAAAGTCCACAAAAAAAATGTCATTGAGTTTGTTTTGCATTGGCCAACAATTCCTGGGCATAAGGCCTGTCCTGGAGTATGGTTGATATACCAGTGAGACTCCATTTGGGCAAACTGATTTTCCCTTTGCCAGTGGGCAACAGTTGCAGATAGCATCGTGGTTAGGGTGGGACCCCATGTCTACTTCCCCCTTTCAATGTTAGAATCCTGTCTGGATGGAATCTGTGCAGGTCTTGTTCATTCTGCCATAGTCTTAGATGTGTCAGTCCTGTTGGTCTGGAAGACATGGTTTCTGAAGTCACCCATCCCTCTGGCTCTTGCAATCTTTCTGCCTCCTCTTCTGCATAGATCCCTAGGTCTCCAGGGAAGGGGGTTTGATGAATAAATCTCATTTAAAACTCTTTTGAACCTTGTGTCACATAGAGACACACAAAAAGGTAGGAAATTAATTCTCAACAGACACTGAATCTCTACTAGAGTGTCAAAAACCTGGCCTTGCCAGCCTTCAGAACAGTGTGAAGTACATGTCTATTGTTTTTGTTGGTTGTTTCATTGACTTGGGGTGATTGTGTTTGTGTGTGCATACGTGTTTTGTATTTGGGTGAACATGAACACGTATTTGTGTATGCTGAAGCCAAGGATCAACTTTGGCCACTATCCTCCTTTTTTTGTTGTGGTTGTTGTTGTTTGGTTTTCTTTTTTTGTTTACAGACAGGGTCTCTAACTGGCCTGAAACTCAGCAAGTAGGCTAGGTAGCCTAGTCACTATGCTCTGTGATCTGCCTGTCTCCAACTCACTGGCACTGAGATAACAAGCATGCCTGGCTTTGCCAAGGCTTTTTCCCCGTGTGTTCTGGGAATGCTTGTGTGGCAAGCGCTTTACCAACTCGGCCATCGTCCCAGCCCCACATTTCCATCATTTCTAAACCACTCAGTTATGCATTTATCACAGCAAGCCGAGCAGAGGAAGCCTCACTTTGACCACTTTTCAGACTGCAATTTGATGTCCTTTATAACACTCACAATGTTGTGCAATTGCCATACATCAGATACCAGAATCTTTTCATCATGCCAAATGAAAACCAAGTTTATTAAATTATAGTGTATTTTCATTATCAATTTTGTGTGTGTGTTTTGTGGGGAGGAGTAAGAGAGAGAGAGAGAGAGGGAGAGGGAGGGAGGAAGACAGAAAGAGAGAAAGAGAGAGATAGAGAGGGAGGGGGGCTCACTATATAGTCCTGACTGGCCTAGAACTAACTCTGTAGACCAGAGTGGCCTCAAACTCAGAGAGAGACACTATATCCCAAGTGCGGGAATTTGTTAACAAATTTAAAATGAGAAGATATCTTTACAATAAAAATACCTTCCCCCAAAGTTATTTATTGTTTAAAAAACAAAAACCTTTCAGACGGCAGTGTTAGGCAACATGAGCACCTTCTTCTTCCAAAAGTCGTTCCGTGGTTGTCTAAGTCCTCTGCCAGAAATCCCTTTCCAGTCAGCTCTCAGCTCAAACTCTACACTCACCACCCACTCCATTTTGGTACTTCCAGATGTGAAGTCTCTTTCCTCTGGTGAAAATTCCCTTTCCGTTGGAACTCAGGCCACCCGGCTGGGTCACACTTTCCCCTTCTTGTTGCTGTCAACAGCTGCCACCTCTCTTCATGTGTCTGAGATCTCAGCACCCAGATGTCAGTCTTCCAGTCCACCTTAACTGCTGCTATTATTTGGAACAGCGTTTACAGACCTGCAGGCCATGAAGAGATTGTTGAACTCTGTACCTCAGCAATCTATTTTTAAAAAAAATGATAAAATGCTCAAAGCTGTGTGACTCAAGCCTCCTACTCTTCTACCATCTTGCATCCCATTAGGACCTCCAGCACAACCCCACACTTTCTCATGCCCCTCTGTCGCTTTAGGCACTCAGAAGTCCCTCACTACAAACCCTGTACAAACACCATAGTAATCATCTTGTTCTTTCCCCACTGGCAAACATACCAAACTCGAACCCTAGATGAACCCAACCATCTGGCCTCTCAGCGTCCAAGCTCCAGTGGGAGAAAACACACAGCTGAACTGATTGATATCATTGAAAAGTCAACATCCCCAACCCACTGTCGCCTGGCAACCTAATTATGTATCTCCAGTGAACTAGGTTGATCTGGTTCCTCAATGATTACATGGTACATCCTCACTCATATCAAGTCTTCCTTTTCTTATCTGCCCAAAGGAGTCCATCACCAAGCTCTACGAAGTTTACCTCCAAACAGCATCTCCTAACTACTCACGTGACTCTCCTCTACCACCCAAATGGCAATCATGTCTAGGGTGGCTAGCCTGGCAGTTTCCAAAGGATTTCCCCATCCTCTTTACTGCTATCTCTTCGAAGTCTCAGCACAGAGGCTAGTGTGATTTGTTATTAATATATTCCATTTTTTACTTCTGTATTTTGTGTGTACATGTGTGCGTATGTGTGGGGGTGGGCACACCCATTCTTGCAAGGCACTCAAGAGGTCAGAGGACAACTTTCAGGCGTGAGTTCTCTCCTTCCTCCATGTTCTAGGTTCTAGGGATTGAAGTCAGGCTGTCTGGTATCTTTGCTCACTGAGTGCCTCACTGGCCCTGGAGTGATGTTTTAAAAGCAGCACACAGATCATATCGTTCACACATAAGCCCATGATGTGCCCCTTCAAAGGGCTGCAGAAAGGAACCTGCTGTGCCCATCTGGTCTGGGCCCTGGATACCATTACATTATTTTCTTTTTTTTTTAGAAAAAAAATTTTAAGTTTCATTTTACATTGCACTCAGATGGACTTCTGAGTCCATCACCAAGTTCTACGAAGTTTACCTCCAAACAGCATCTCCTAACTACTCACGTGACTCTCCTCTACCACCCAAATGGCAATCATCTCTAGGGTGGCTAGCCTGGCAGTTTCCTAAGGATTTCCCCATCCTCTTTACTGCTATCTCTGAGCAACTGAGGTTGCAACCTCAGTTCTCCCTCCCACCCCTCCTCCTGCTCCCCGCTTTGCCTCCTTCCCCTAGTCCCACCCCTTGCCACTCCTCCTCACAGGTAAGGGCTGCCATGAGGAGTCAACAAAGTCTGGCACATTAAGTTGGGGCAGGCCCAAGCCCCCCACACACACACACATTAAGGTGAACATGGCATCTCACCATGGGGAGTGGGCTTGTTTGTTCACTGACTCCTCCAGGCTCCCTACCAATTGTCACCTAGACAATATCTATTCATTCTTTTGGTCTCAAAGTTAGCAGCTCAGTCTTAAGGAAGTCTTCCTTGAGTAACCTCATCTTCCATTCACAACTATTTGGGTCTGTTTAGTGGTCCTTCTTTTTGTTTTTACCACAATTCCAAAACACAACTTACACTCAGTACTTAAAACCAGTCACAGAGGCCATGCATGGTAGCACATGGCTGCAAACTCAACATTTGGGAGGTGAAGACAAGAGGATCAGGAGTTTGAGGTCATTCTCCGACACTTACTGAATTTAAAAACAGCACAACTACGGGAGATCTGTTGACAACAAACAAATAACAATCACATTATAACTGGGCTGAAGAGATCTTACTATTTATAGCATAATAATTCCATTTTGTCATTTTAATTAAATATAGGGTAATATCTTTGCTAAGTCTTTAAAGCAAGAGAAGATGGTGATCTACTTATATTTGTGAATAGCATTTATTGGAACACAACTATAGCCATTCATTTATATATGTATTGTATGTCTAATTTTGCACTACAGTGGTCCCATTAAGAAGTTGTGGTGGAAAGTATGGCTTACAAACCTAAGATTGACTACAAGGCTTTATGCAGGAACTGTTTTCTGGATCCTGCTTTGAAGTATTGAAATGGTAGTCTCCTAGGACTTTGGCGTGGCATGACTGTGTACCTGAAATGTGACATGGAATGACTGTGTACCCCAAAGGTGACATGGCATGACTGTGTCCTGCAAAGGTGACATGCATGACTGTGTACCCCAAAAGGCTTGTATACTGGAAGCTTGACCCACACTGTGGCACTGTCAAGGGGTGGTGGGATCATTAAGAGCTAACACCTTGCCCAGCGTTGGTGGTGCATGCCTTTAATCCCAGCACTCAGGAGGCAGAGGCAGGAGGATCTCTGTGAGTTCGAGGCCAGCCTGGTCTCCAGAGCGAGTGCCAGGATAGGCTTCAAAGCTACACAGAGAAACCCTGTCTTGAAAAAACAACAACAACAACAAAAAGAGCTAACACCTTATGGGAGGTAACTAGGTCATTGGACTGACGTAAACCTCATGGGCCCTCATTATATCCTATGAGAGACAGAACTGTTACAAAGAATGATGAGAACCTGAGGTATTCTGGCTTCCTATCTCACCAAGTGACTGCTTTATCTTTATCTCCCATCACTGAGAAGTTTCCACCAAAGGCTGAAAATAGATCTCTTTATTTTATGGATTACCTAGCTTCAGATATTTTGTTACAGGGACAGAAAGTGAAATGATGCATATTTTAAAATTATCTTTGTCTTTTTCTGATTTCCTTTATCTTTTTGTTGAGGTACTATTTACTAAACACATAAATAGTCCTGACATTTAGTATATTGCTTGATACATTTTTGCATATGTATATACCACACCAGCTTTACTCCAGTGAATATATTTAATATTTCAAATATTCTAGTATACTGTCTTGAAACCAGTCTTAGTCAACTTTGAGGAGTGGAAGAGTTATCTACATAGCTCCTGCTACTAACATACTATGTATTCATGATTTTGTCTCCTTACTGTAACATATATCTAAGAAAAGCAATTTAAGAAAAAAGGGGTTTATTCTGTCTCAAGTATTGAGAGAGCAGACTTGTAGAATTCTGCACTAAAACCATCTGGCCCTGAGCTTCTTTTTTTGGTTGAGAGACTTTTAATTATTTCTTGTATTTCACTAGGGCTTATAGGTCTGTTTAAATTGCTTATCTGATTTGATTTAACTTTAGTAATGGTATGTATCAAGACAATTTATTTCTCTTAGATTTTCCAATTTGGTGGAGCACAGGTTTTTAACATATGTCCTTATGATTCTCTTGATTTCCTCTGTGTCTGTTATGTCCCCTTTTCATTTCTAATTTTGTTAGTTTGGATATTCTTTCTCTATCTTTTAGTTAGTATAGATAAGGGCTGTCAATCTTACTGATTTTCTTGAAGATCAACTTATTGTTTCATTGATTCATTGTAATTTTTGTTTGTTTCTATTTCATTGATTTTAGCCCTGAGTTTGATTATTTCTTGCTATCTACTCCTTTTAGCTGTGATTTCTTTTTGTTGTTGGTGTTCTCGAGCTTCCATGTGTGCCATTAAGTTACTATGGTAAGATCTCTCCAATGTTTCTATGTAGGCACTTACTTGCCTCTTAGAACAGCCCTTATCATGTATGCCCCATGCAATTGGATATGTTATGCATTTCTTTTCATTCAATTCTAGAAAGCCTTTATTTTTTGGACCCATTTTTCATTCAGTAGTGAGTTGTTTAGTTTCCATGAGTTTATAAGCTTTCTGTTTCTGTTGTTGTTGAGATCCACTTTTAATCCATGATGGTCAGATAAGATGCAGGGTGGTATTTTAACTTTCTTTTGTGTCCAAGTATATGTTTAATTTTGGAGAAAGTTTCATGAGCTGCTGAGAAGATATATTCTTTTGTATTTGGACGAAATGCTCTGCAAATATACATTAGGTCCATTTGGTTTATAACATTACTTAGTCTCAGCATTTCTCTATTTTGTTTTTTTGTCCAGATGACCTGTGTATTGCCAAGACTGGGGTATTGAAGTCTCCCACTATCAGAGTATGAAGGTCAATATGTGATTTCAGTTGTAGCAGTGTTTCTTTTATGAACTTGGGTGCCCTTGTATTTGATGCATAGATGTTAATAATTACAATATCCTTGTGGTGGATTTTTCCTTTGATGCATATGTAGTTTTCTTCCCTATCTCTTCTGATTAGTTCTGGTTTGAAGTCTATTTTGTCAGACAATGAAATGGTGACCCCAGCTTGCTTCTCAGGTCCATTTTCTTGAAATAGTTTTTTCCTTTCTTTCACTCTGAGGTGATGTCTATTCTTGATGTTAAGGCATGTTTCTTGGATGCAACAGAAGGATGGATCCTGTTTTTTTAAGCAATCTGTCAGTCTATGTGCTGTTATTAGGGAATTTATACCATTGATGTTGAAAGATACCAATGGACAGTGCTTGTTGATTCCTGTTATTTTGTTGTTGTGAGGTATGGGTGGATGGGTGGAGGGGCGTGTTTCCCCTCTTCTGATTTGCAGGTCTCAGATTATTTATTCCTTCTATTTTCTTGTGTGTAGTTAACCTCTTTATATTGAAGTTTTCCTTCCAGCATCTTTTGTAAGGCTGGATTTGTAGTATTACTGCTTAAATTGGTTTTATCATAGAATGTTTTATTTTTTCCATCTATTGTGATTGAAGGTTTTGCTGGGTATTGTAGTCTGGACTGGCATCTGTGGTCTCTTATAGTCTGTAGATATTGATTCAAGCCCTTCTTGCTTTTAGTTTCCATTGAGAAGTCAGGTGTTATTCCAATAGATCTGCCTTTATGTTACTTGGTCTTTTTCCCTTGGAGTTTTAAATGTTCTTTCTTTGTGTCTGTATGTTTAGTGTTTTGATTATTGTGTGCTAATGGAACTTTCTTTTCTGGTCCAGTCTATTTGGTGTTCTACTTGCTTCTTGTACCT